CAATAAACATCTAGAAAACCGGAAATGGCACTGTGGCTCAAGTAGTAGAGTGCTCGCCTAGAGCTTAAGAGCTCAGGGACAGTGCCCAAGCCCAGAGTTCAAGCCCCACGGCCAACCGGAAAAAAAAAAGTGTTTTCTATTGCTTAAAAAAAAAATACCTGAAGGGCCAGGTGCTGGTGGTACATGTCTGTAATCTTAGCTACTAAGGAGGCTGAGAGCTGAGGACTGAGGTTCAAAGCTAGCCCAGGCAGGAAAATCCCAGAGACCGCCGATTAACCACCCCCAAAAGCCCGAAGTAGAGGTGTGGCTCTAGTGTTAGACCACTCCAAAGCCTGGAGCACAAAAGCTCAGGGACAACACCTAGACTCTGAGTTCAAGGACTAGCACAATAATAACAACATAACAATAAGACCTGAAGTGATGTAGTTTGTTTTTTTTTTTTTATAAATTCATTTAGCTTTCAGTTTGGGAGACTGGAAGTTCAGGATCAGGAAACCCCATCAGTTCAGTCTCTATCGAGGGCTTCTTATGTTACAAATATACCCAGGAGTCACAAGACAGACATGAAAACAGAGAATTGTCTTAGAAAAGCAAAATTTACTTCTGCAGCTAAAACAGTGCTAACACACTGAGGACAAATTTCTTGTAAATGAGCCCTCTGAGTATAATTCAAATTACAAACCATAAAATCAAGGAAAGGCTAACCAGCGTAGTGGTGGTAGTTGGAATGGGGGTACAGGTAGGAGGATTTCAAGTTTGAGGCCAACCCAGGCAAAGTTAGCAATACCCAATCTCAAAACTTAAGTAAAAACAAAAGGCCTGGGGGCATAGTTCAATTAGTAGCCACTTGCCTATCATGAGGCCCTGGGTTTAATCCCTAAGGGTTAGAGGAAGCTAACCACCTGATTCATGGCATAAATATATACAATAAATGTTCATTATATTTGGGACTTAGTCCTTTGGCTTTTGTCTTATTTCTGAGACTGGGTCTCATGCTACCTTTGGCCCATACCGGCCTTTAACTCAAATCCTTCTATGTCCATGTTCTGATTAGTAATGCACCACGCTGCCTAGCCCTCTTTTATAGAATCTTCAAATAGGTCAAAAACAGTCTATACTCCATAAAATCTAATTAGGTTGCAAAGATAAAGCTCTCTAGCCTTTTAAGGGTGTCTGTTCGTAATCTGCTAACTACTAAACTGGTGTTTTCAGGACCAAAGAGCATCTGGTGACTCTAGGAATGTAGCATGAGCACATCCACACACAGTTTACTGCTAAGGAGACAGCTTGCTCCTTCTGACAGAAAGCAGAGCTACAGAATAAAGCTGCAAATAGCCAGAACAACGAAAAGTAATCCTGGATGAACCCATCTAATTAAGTATGGGCTGCAGGACTGTTTAATAACGGATGCCCCACATTTGTTTTTGTATTAAACATAACTTTTAGGTATGCAAAAATGATAGAAATCAGTCTTTAAAAATTCCATGTGTTAAAAAAATGTAGTGTGTAAAAAACAAATTAATTCATTGAAGAGGGAAAATACTGGGCTGGAAAATCTCCCTAAGAGGTGAAAAACTGCTTGCCATGTAAAAGGCCCTGGGTTTGATCCCAAGAACTCCAAAGGAAAGAAAAAAGAGAAAGAAAAAAGAGACAAAGACCTATTCTTTAAAAACTAGCCATTGAGTAAATGACAGTAGAACCTCTGGCAACAAATCACCACTTACTAAGGTAAGTGTAAATAACTAACTCCATTGATAATTAAGCTATGACCACCTATCTAGACTTCCAGTTTTGATATTCCTCTGTTCAAGGTCCTATTAGTGTGGGGTTGAGTGGTAGAGGGCAAGCCAAGAAAGCGAGCAAGCTAAGCATGAAGCACTGAGTCTAAACCCTAGTACCATTAAGAATAATAATGGTGATAATAATAATACACTATCTCTTGGGACTGGGAGTACAATACAGTGGTAGAGTGTGATTAGCATAGGTTCAAGGCCCCTGTTCAATCCCCAACACCCCCCCAAATTAGTCCTTAATCTTTCTCTCTTTTTGGGGTGAGGGTGGAGGGCCCGGTTGTGGGGCCTGAACTAAGGCTAGCACTCTACCACTTGAGCCACAGCACCACTTCTGGCTTTTTTTCCCTGCTTATGTGGTGCTGAGGAATCGAACCCATGGCCTCATGCATGCAAGGTAAGCGCTCTACCACTGAGCCACCTTCCCAGCCCTGTCTCTTTCTTACCTCTTTAGTGAAGCAAACAATTTATCCTACCTTCCAGATACATGGGAAGTTCTCTCAAAGGCTGTGAACTTTGTTCATTTAAAAATCTGAATTATGTTAGATGTAGATAACTCATATCTATAATCCCGAGTATCCAAGAGACTGAGATCAAGAGGACTGTGGTTCAAAGCCAGCATGGACAGTCAAATCCAAGAGATTTATCTTCACTTTACCAGGAAAAAGCTGGAAATGGAGGTGAAGTGTAAGTGGTAGAGTGCCAGTTTACAGTGAAAAAGCCAAGCAAGAGTACCAGACCCTGGGCTCAAGTCCAGCTATCTGCATAAATTAATTAAATTTTAGAAAGGAAAACTGAATTAGATAGGAGTTGGGGGTGGGGGGACAGAGGGGTGGTGATGGGAAAGGATGGTAAGGGGAAACAAAGAACAATGCTTGATAAGACATGCACTCATGGGTTGGGAAGGTGGCTCAGTGGTAAAGTGCTTGCCTTGCATGCATGAGGCCCTGGGTTCAATTCCCCAGCACCACATAAGCAAAAAGAAAAATGACCGGAAGTGGTGCTGTGGCTCAAGTGGTAGAGCACTAGCCTTGAGCTGAAGAGCTGAGGGACAGTGTCCAAACCCAGAGTTCAGGCCCCACAACCAGACCCCTCCCCCTAGAAAAACGATATGCACTCATTACCTTGCCCATGTAATTGTAACCCCTCTATACAGTATTTTTCACAATAAAAAAAGAAAAAGAAAAAAAATACATACTCAACCCCCCCCCAAAAAGATAGGAGTTGGGGTAAGCAGCAGCCCCAGCTTGGTAGGACTTAATGACTCTTGCCACTGTCTGAAAATTAAGCTAAATAAGGTTAACTTTCAACACTAGTCTTCTAACAAAGACTATAGAATCAGCTTAATACAATTTACTCTACTGTCACATACTCTCTATCTGTTTTGTGTTTTTTGTGTGTGTGCCTGTCTTGAAGCCTGAACTGGGCCCTGTTCCTGGGCTTTTGTGCTCCATAGCGCTCTACTACTACAGCCACATCTCCACTTCCAGCTTTTTGGTATTTAATATAAGAGTCTGCTGGACATTCTTGCCTTGTCTGGCTTTGAATTGTGATCCTGACATCTAAGCTTCCTATATAGCTAGGATCATGGGCCATAAACCACTGGTACCCAGCCCTCCCTTATCTTTAATGCCTTTATCATCTGTTAACCTCATAATTCTCCCATGATAAAAGCAACAGCAGGAAACACATAACTAAGGCCTCCTAATGTTTAAAGGGAAGAAGACTAGGTAATGAACTCTTAGTATTTTTGACTAAAATGTAAATCTAGTTTTAAAAAATAAAGCCAGTCCATATATTTCCTTCAGATCACTAGTTCCATTTCTACTCATCCTAGTGGAATACTCAAAATAACTTCTAAAAATGTTATAAAGCAATGTTTATAACAACCACATATTCTCTTGGATTATATATCTAATCTTTTCAATAAATGGTTTTCAAATGAGAAATATGGTTAATCCACAATTCTCCAAGAATAGGAATGTCCAAAATGTGAAACTCTAAAAAGAGCAAAAAGTTTGGTGAAAGAATGCTGCAGCTCTGCTGCTAAATATGTCTAGTTCCTTTAGTGTTTTGGAAGTTGTTACAACATTGCCTATGTTAACATGTAAGAGACAATCAAACCTAGGTTTGCATTTCTTAGCTCAACAGAATCCTCTATACCAATTTCCAGTTATGTCAAGTAACTAGAGATAGAGGAGATAGAGCTCATGGAAGCAAAGGTGTATTTTTTTTTTTTTTACCTAGAAGGGGGTCTCTCAGTCTTCCAGCAATCTGGTAAAGCATGACAAACAAAGGTTACTTCCGTTTTAAGTAAGTGTGGATTTGTGGTATCTTATGACCTCTTAAAACACCTAATTTAGGATCCAAATGTTAACCAATGAATCTGTTCCCAGTTTGTTTTCGGTTAACTTTTTTTTTGGGGGGGGGTCGTCCGGTCATGGGGCCTGAACTCTGGGCCTGGGTGCTGTCCCTCAGCTCTTCAGCTCAAGGCTAGCACTCTACCACTTGAGCCACAGCCCCACATCCAGGCTTTTTTCTTTTTGCTTATGTGTTGCTGGGGAATCGAACCCAGGGCCTCAGGCCTGCAAGGCAAGCGCTCTACCACTGAGCCACCTTCCCAGCCCCTCGGTTAAGTTATAAGGATTCTACTATCGTGGCTCCTTTTGAACTTCAACTAGTCCTGTTTTCCAGGATCTAAATTCTAGGATCCCTCAGCCCCATCGCTGAATCTATTTTCAAACTACATGCTCAACAGTTTTGTCCTCGCAAACAAAATCTTGTGCTGGTTAGAAGCCCTGTATAGAAACCTAAAGGCGCATTAGGACCTGCACACCCTACAGGCTTGGGGAGATTAGAACCAGCTCCTTCCCCTTCTACCTAGTTCAATAGAACCCGAACCTAACAAACCGGCTAGGTCAGGAGAATAGAAGGGAAGGCGGAGAGACCTTAAAGGGCAATAAGGACTGAGGGGAGGGGAGGGGGAGGGAGGGTGGGACAGGCTAAAGCCCAAGGAGGCTAGGAGCCCCTCCACCTTCTGTGCAACCAGGTCTGCACCAAAGGCAGATACGGGCCAGGTAAAAAGGTAAGTCCTCCTGGTCATGGGGGCCTCACGGTATCACTCGCCGTGGAGGTGGGAAGTGGCCGGTGGAGATGGAGAAAGCGCCTGTCCCACTACCCGCACGCACTACCCCTCCTCCTGTTGCTCACCGGTGCTGCAGCCCCACGAGTCCCAGAGCGATCACATGTGGTACGTCCAGCTGCGTGGGCCACTCTCCAGAAGCGATGCACCCGAACACCCCACATTCCTCTCCAATCCCCAACTCTTCCAGCTCCATGGCGCCGCCGAAAGCACGTGGAGGGACCTGCCGCCGCAATCGAGGTCAGAGCACCAACCAGCCGCCGGCTCGGCCCAGAGCGCCTCAGAGGCTCGCGCGCCAGGAAAGCTTCCTCCTCCAGAGGGTCGACCCTCGCTACTGCGGCGGCGCGCGCTTTCCCCAAACCCCCCTCGACCCGCCTCCCACCTCCAGCCAATGAGAGATGCCCTTGCGAGGCCGCGCCTCCCCCAGTGGGAGGAGTCTCGCCCGCCACGGGGGTGGAGCTAGCCTCCCCCGCCCCAAAGACGCACCGAAATATTTCTGCACGTGGAAATCTCCGTTATTTCCCTGTGCCCCAAACCCGGGTGCTGAGGGTAACGGGCTTTAGGCCATTTGTCTTTGAGTGACTGTGTGAGGTTTACACGTTCCTCCCTAGGTGCTTTCCCCCGGCCTTCGGGACTTGGTATGTTCCAACCTGTGAGCGGGGGGAGGAAGGGGGCCCGAGTCGGCAAGCCCGGCGGAGCGGGGAGGGGCTCTGGTGCGCGCCACTTCGGGCCTCGGCCGCTCGCGCGCCTGCGTGGCGGGAACTCCCCAGGGAAGCCCTCCCTCTCCGCGGTGGCGTCACCGGAGACCCTCCGCGTGCGGCCCGGGTAGCGGAGCGCGTGTGGAGCCGCGCGAGTCTGCGGAGCCAGGCCCGGGGCGTGTCTGTAGCCAGCGCTTCCCTTCGGCGTTCTTCAGCGTCTCTGACTGTAAAACCGCTCTTTTCCAGATCCCCGCGACTCTGCCCAGAGACTCCAGCCCGCTCAGGACAATGGCGGCCGCCGAGGGTGAGTAACTGGCCCTGTGCGGGGCTCCCTGCCGCCCCCTCCCCTGGGCTATGAGCTTTGTGGACCCCACAGTCCCACTGCACAGCCCCCCCCGGACCGTGCTCGGCCTCCCTTCGGCAGAGCCTCCAGGTATCGCGGCGGGCGCGCTCGGGACCCGGTGAGCCGGGAGGACGGTGCTCACCAAACACCCGGGGTCCTGGAAACGCTGGGATTGGAGCCAGAGCACCGACCGAGCGAGGGGGTGCCTCGAACTCTTGAGAAATTGCCAGAAACTGGACAGATGCCTGGAAACTTTTGTGTTAGGTGTTGCATAACAATCACACGAAGAACACCTAGAGTTTACTTTGCAAACCAAATGCTTGCTTTTCCTGTTTGGTTGAGTCTTCTCTACCCTAAGGTTAATTATTTAGTCTTAGGAAAACCTGTCCAGGTTCCCATCGATTTTGTTTTACCTAAAGCATCCTGAAACGTGATGACTTTGAAGAGCTCCAAAAATCGTCAGCGAAAGTTTACTTGGTTAACTTTTTGTCAGATTTACGTACTTAGATGTTTACTTGATTCCTGAGTGGTCAGATTTTCTGGGAAGATCCTCATGCCATTATGTTCATTTGACCAGCACATGGGGGTTTCTAACTTTGTAATAGATTAAATTGTTTGTGTTGGCTGATCAGAACATTTTTTTCCATACAGGGAAGAAGAAAAAAACTGAATTTAGATCAAACTGTTGCAGATCCAACAAAAAAAAGATGGCAGTAGGCCAAAAGTTTTTACTTTTATAGTTTCTAAAATAGTCAAAATGTCATTGATTAAAGATATTCAATAGTATACATAGAACTATAACTTCCAGTCATAAGTTTCTTTACCTTAAATCCAATCTACTGGTCTCCATCTTGTCTTCAGCTTTGCTTTAAGTAAAAACAAAGGGAACCAAAACCTTGATGGAACAAGTTTACTTATATCCAAGATGCTGACATTTTAACGTGTAAAAAATTTCAACATGTAAGAAATTTGGGGGAATATTATGCATTCTTTTTTATCCACATGGAATGCAAAGTGTATTCATAGTCCATGTGGTTAGTGGTCCCATGATGGATAGCACAATCCTAGAATGTTTTTAACTCTCCTCTGGAAATTTTATACTTTCCAAGATTTAAATTTCAATTCCATGAACCAGTGTCAGTCCTTGCCAGAGTCTTGTGAATTCATGTATGGATTCATAACAGTCCTTTGGAAATTCACAGCATAGACTACTTACGATTTTCTATTTTGACTAATAGGATACTGTATGTTACATATTTAAATGCTTTTATTTCTTAATTTGGGCACCACTCTAGTCTAACCTCTTCTTCAGTCTGAAATATTTAGAATGCTGGATTACTGCTGTCATCACCTGCCTCAGTTGCTGCATTAGTGTCCTGAATTCTTCCCCCAGACTCTTGGCTCCCGCACCCCCTTTCCTACTTCATTCTCCATATAGCAGCCATATTAACCTTTCTAAAAGTACACATTTTACTTCAAGGCTTAAGAGCCAAATAGTCCTTCAGATGTAACTCAATCAACATGGCTTAAAGGCCTGGGAAGTGAATATTAGAAATATAAGGGAACAGTGTCAGCTATAAAAGTAATTGTCAATGGAGCTGGGAAGGTGGCTCAGTGGTAAGAGTGCTTGCCTTGCATGTATGAGGCCCTGCGTTCGATTCCTCAGCACCACATAAGCAGAAAAAGCTGGAAGTAGCACTGTGTCTCAAATGGTAGAATGGTAACCTTGAGCTGAAGAGCTCAGGGATGGCTCCCAGGCCCAGAGTTCAGGCCCCACGACAAAAAAAAAAAAAAATAGTCAAAAGGCTTGCCTAGGGGACATAAAAAAACAGTTAAGGAACTTGGAGTTCTTGAATGTGAATAGAAAAAAAAGACTGGAGCAGTATAAGCTAGGTTTGTACCTTAAAGGGCTTTTAAAACCTTGTTAATAATAAATCTAGACGTTAGATTGAGATCAAGCTATTTATCCTCTAAATTAGGTGCCCTAAGTGACACTTATTACAAGGAATAGCAACTGATAACCAAGAACAAAATTTAGCCTGGGTGTAAAAAAGAAAAACTACATTTATTTGTGACTAATTAGGATTGCAATCTGGCAAACACCATCAAAGAGCTTTGAATTGTGTTTTGTATTTTCACAAAATGGTGGCTGTATTTATACCTTAATACAGAAACAGTTAATAATTAGGTTGACCAACTTGTTAGTCTAGTTAGTATGGCCTTATCTCTTAAGAAAGGGAATGTCTTTTCTCTAATTCAGGGGAAAAGTATGTATGGAATGTCAGGCATCAGTGATGAGTGATTCATGTTATAATCCTACTTACTCAGGAGGCTGAGATCTGAAGATTGAGGTTCAAAGCTAGGTGGGACAGAAAGGTCTGTGAGACTTATCTCCAGATAACCAGTAAAAAGCTGTAGGTACAAGTGTGGCTCAAGCAACAGAGCCCCGTCCTTGAGTGAAAAAGCTAAGGGAGAGCATCTTGACCCTGAATTCAAACCCAGTACCAGCACACACAAAAAATGTTTCAGGAAACTGACCCAGTCCAAAGGGGAGGTTGAGGGTGCAACCCTACTCACAGATGTGCTTGCGTACTTACATACGTAAAACTCCTCAGCAGTCAATGGCCTCCTGGCTCCATTTTAACTGTCCTGAGCCAAAATTACTCTAGTTGATTTTCTTCCTTGACACTAGTTTTTTTGTTATCTTCATTAGTTGGTGATGTAAGCCCTGTCCAACTCTTCTACCTCATTTCCTGCAGTTCTTTTCTATGCCTTAGCTGCTAACCTCCCAAATCCACCCATCCAGTGGCAATGTACATAATGAGAATGCTATTTAAATTCAGAGACAGGTTAATAATACAAGGAACTCAGGGATCCCTATCAGAAGACTGAATTTTGTCTAGAGAGGACCTAGTTTCCCATTTACATAATTCGACTTCGTTAAATTAGTAAGGACTGCTATAGAGATGATTTAAAGATAAATATTTAGTCACTATATTCACTTGATTCATTTAAACAATTTAATGTTCCAGAAATTCCTAAAATCTTATATAACTTTTTTTTTCACAGTGCTCACCATTGGTAAAAAACTTTATGAGGGGAAAACAAAAGAAGTCTATGAATTGGTAAATAACCCAGGAAAAGTCCTCCTGCAATCTAAGGACCAGATTACAGCAGGAAATGCAGCTAGAAAGAATCATTTGGAAGGAAAAGCTGCAATCTCCAATAAAATTACCAGTTGTATTTTTCAGTTGTTACAGGAAGCAGGTAAGCAGTTCCCCATATAAATAATTCCTTCCCTTGTCTGTCTTCCATGCAATCTTAAACTTACTGCCTTGGAGCCTTTAGTTCCTTATATTAAAGCTTAGTTCTTTGTTCCCTACTTTCTGATTATATAAATTAATACATGTCCTCTCAATATTCCCAATTGACTGATTTCCTATAGTTTCCTGAAAGCATTATTTCTTAAATCCAAGGAGGGGTGCAGTATATTTTGTTCCATTCAAGATAGATGTACTTCCCTTCTACAAAATAATTAAAATTCTATTCTGTCAGTGCATCTCTGAAGTAGTGGTTTTATCACATTTTAATTTAGTGTGGGAGAAAGTAGGCTAATTGGAACCCTTATCCACATTGGAAATGATAGGACCATAGTTTCTAAGTCACAGGATCTAGGGTTTTATTTCAAGGTTTCCTTGGTAGTGGTTCTCCTGGTGAATGAATCTATTTTGAGAGAGAGATAAAGGCAAATTTACATATGTTTTGCAGTACAGATAGATTTGATTATATTTAGCTATATATGTACTTTGTTTTATGTTTGTATTACTGGACATTGAACCCCGGATCGGGCACATTTAGACAAGGGCTCTACCACTTGGGCTATGCTACAACCCTCTCTCCAACCTTTTCATTTTCATTTCATTTTTGAGACAGTTTCACTGCTACCTTTGCCTGGCTGGCCTTAAACTCTTCCCTCCCTCCCTCCCCCCCCCCTCCTCAGTCATGGGGCCTGAACTCTGGGCTTGGGCACTGTCCCTCAGCTCTTTAGCTCAAGGCCAACGCTTTACCACTTGAGCCACAGGTGCCACTTGGGGCTTTTGCTTATGTGGTGCTGAAGAATTGAACCCATGGCCTCATGCATGCAAGGCAAGCATTCTACCACTGAGCCACCTTCCCAGCCCCTAAACTCCACTCTTGCCTGTACTTCCTGAGTAGCTGGGATTATAGGCACGCACCACAACACTTCTTAAATTTTTTTTTTAATTTTAAGTAGTTGTACAAAAGGTTTCAATTCAGAAAGCACACTGACATTACATACATATACATATACTTAAGTAGTAATGGATAAATATGGACCAAGTTTTTTTATTTACTTGTTCAGTTAGATCCTAGTATATTTTGGGAGGCTTTAAGACAGATGAATTAGGGTGATTGAGGTAACTATGTCCAGGATTTTTCCTGTTTTAATCCTAAATGTATGGTGCCCACAGGCAACTGGGAACTCTTCATAAATTATTCAAAGTATCTTTAAACTATATTTTGTTGCTAGATGTAGTGATACATGCCTGAAATCCTAACTACTTGGAGGTAAAAGTAAGATTGTCTTCCAAGGCCTGCCCCAGAAAAAGTTTAAGACCCAGTCTGAACAACTAATTAAAAGTAAAAGGGATATGTGTATGACTTTGTGGCCAGTAATGCCAGCCAAAAGTATATTATTTTTTTCCATAAGTAACTTAGCTAAAAATTAGTTCACAGAGTGTGTAAAGGTAGTCTCTACATTTTACATGTATATTTTAGTTCATTTTCTGTTATATCAGAATACTTGGAATTAGATAATTTATAAAAAGCCTTTTTTTTCCCAGTTCTGGAACTTAAACTCAGGACCTGAGCACCGTCCCTGAACTTTTGTGTTGAAGGCTAGTGTTCTACTACACCTGAGTCACATTTCCATTTCCAAGAACTCACTTTTATTCAGCTTATTTTAGTGTTGGAAGGATGGTCACAGGAATATCTGAGCTGATTAACATAGATGAAATGTGCTACACTTTACACAAGTAAAATTCACTTTTTTTTAATAACAAATGTAGGAACACTTTCTCACAAATTAAATGGAGTTTATGATTGGCAGTCAACTGAAAGGCATCATATTATTTAAACTAAGGTTCTTTTCTGTATAGAGAATATTATAATTTGAATATGAACTGATTTTCTTGTAAATGGGGGAAGTTCTATCAATAAAAGTAACTTGCTTATATTTAAGAACTAGAATTAGATACTTAGTTTATCAAGCTTAGTAGACAATTGAAAAAATATGGCTAATAACAGATTTAAGAAAGAATGCAGTTTTGTCTGTTTCAGGTTAAGAATGATTTAATTACCTGACTACTCATGTGCCTGGTCTTTTCATCAAAAGTTAAAATGATCTTAGTACTCTCACCTTCAATTTTAGCTACTCAGGAGGCTGAAATCTGGGGATCAATATTCAAAACCAACCAGGGCAAGAAAATCCATGAGATTCACATCTCCAATTAGCCACAAATGGAGTTGTGGCTCAAGTTGTAAAGCTCTAGCCTTTAGCAAAAAAGATCAGGGACAATACCTGGATTCAAACCCCAGCACCAGCATCCTCCCCCCGCCCCCATAAAAAAAGTGAAAGTGAAGATTTGAATTACTTCTTTGCGTTCTCTTATAAGATTGTTGTTTTTGCAGCATACAATAATTTACTGTCTTCTCTACTTCTGTTGAATCATTCTAGTCAGATGCAAAAAGAATACCAATAAGACAGTACATAGACATGTACATTGCACTTTGGGTCCAGGTTCTACTACTGATTGGCATTATGAAATGACTTAAGCTTCTATGAGCCTCTGTAAAGGGAGACTAATAACCTATCTCAAAAAATTTATATACAGCCGGGTGCTGGTGGCTCACGCCTGTAATCCTAGCCACTCAGGAGGCTGAGATCTGAGGTTCGAGGTTCAAAGCCAGCCTGGGCAAGAAAGTCCATGTGACTCTTATCTCCATTAACCACTCAGAAAACCAGAAGTGGTGCAGTGGCTAAAGTGAGAGCTGTCGCCTTGAGCTGAAGAGCTGAGGGACAACTCCCAGGCCCAGAGTTCAAATCCCACGACCAACAACAACAAAAAATTATACAAATATATGTAGAAAACAGTACAGTGACTTGTTATAAGTAAAAGTTGTTTATGATTAAAGATTCCCCAATTCCTTTCTGATATAAAAAGGCTGGTTTTAAGTTTGAGAATTAAGTTGGGATTTAAGATAACTAACATCACAGGCTGAAAATAGGTATCTTACATCAAACCCATACAGATCTACTGGAGGTGTTTTAATTCATGTTAATGCTGCAGCATTCCATTGTACTGTGATGTTGATAGAATACCTCCAGGAGAGGCAACATAGTCTTTCACAGCCTTCACGGCTGTGTGGACTACCCACTGAGCTTTGCCTAGTACTAGCTGACATTACTACAGTGTCTCTGTAATTTGTTCGGTTAATGACATTAATTGAATGCTAGTAGTTAAAAAATATTTATAATACTTAAAATAATAGACTCATGAAGTAGGTTTCTTTTGTGTGTGTGAAGTGTGTATGTACCTACATATGGCAGTTCTAGGGCCTTGTGTTTTCACTTGGCTTTCTTATTCAAGTCTGATGGTCTACCATTTGAACCATACTTCCATTTTATTTGCTGGTTAATTGGAGGTGTGTCATGGACTTTCCTGCTCAGGTTGGCTATGAGCCTTGTCTTCAGTTCTTACCCTCTTGAATATCAAGGATTACAGGCATGAGTTACCAGTTTCTACATAGGAAATGAGTCCTTGAAATACTGAAATTGTGACAAATATACATAAAGTTAAACCATTTTACCCGTTTATATCACCAGTGTGGCATTCGTGTTAAGAGTATTGTACATTCATCCCATTTCCAAAACTTTTTCTGAAGCATAGTCTTCATTCTTCATCTCAGCACTTTGTAACCTTTCTTTTATGTGTACCTATGAATTTGCCAGTTGATTGGTATCAATGGAATCATAAGCATCTTTTTTTGTGATGTATTTCATTTTAATAATTTTCAAGGTTCATTTATAATGTGACAGATTTTTAGGTTTGGAAGTATTACAATTTAGCATGCTTGGGGAGGGGCCCTATTTCTTTTTTGTTTTTTGGTTGGTTGGTTGGTTTTTTGTGCCTGATCTGGGGCTTGAACTCAAGGCCTAGATGCTTTCCCTGAACTATGTTACTCAAAGCTAGCGCTCTACCACTTGAGCCAAAGTTCTGCTTTGACTTTCTTGGTGATTAATTGAGAGAGTCTCAAAACTTTCTTGCTCTAGATGGCTTTGAACCACAATCCTCAGATCTCAGCCTCCTGAGTAGTTTGGATTATAGGCTTGAATCACCCAGCTTCTTTTTCTTTTTTAAAGTCAGAGACGAGGACTTAAACTCTGTATTTGATGCTTTCGCTCATTGGCTGGCACTCTACCAACTGAGCCACACCTCCAACCCTTCCCATTTGCTTTTTGGATTTTTTTTTTCACAAAGTCAAATATAAGGAAACAGATTACAACAAATTAAACACAGCTGATGATAAAATATGATTGACAGTTTCTGCACATCAGTTGAACTTTGTATTATGCACATAGCAACTTAGAATTTTGGTTTTTGAAATTTCTTCTATTTGCCTGTGCTTGGTGAAAATTGTATGGATTAACCAAGTGACTATAGTCTGAGCTTATAGTTGATTCTGATAATCAGTGTGTGGGGTCCTCATCAATTATAGAATATAAGAAGTCTGTGACTAAGTTAACATTTAGAAGCAATTTAGTGCCACTTGAATATGTCTTGTCCAAAATTAGATATTCAGTAATAAAAGAGATACTCAATATGTATTGTTGAATTGATGAGTGAATGATTGATACTCTGGAGGCCAAGTAAATTCTTTACTGAAAGTGGTGGCACATGCCTTTAGCTTAGGAGCGAAAAAAGAGATTTTGTAATATTTTGTAAAAGGAAATTCTAGTAGATAATTTACCTTTCATCATCAATGTGTAGGTATTAAAACTGCTTTCGCTGGAAAACATGGGGAGACAGCGTTTGTTGCACCTCAGTGCGCAATGATTCCAATTGAGTGGGTGTGCAGGAGAATAGCAACTGGCTCCTTTCTCAAAAGAAATCCTGGTGTCAAGGAAGGATATAAGTTTTACCCCCCAAAAGTGGAGATGTTTTTCAAGGTAATAATTTTATCTGACTATTACATAATAAGTACCATACTGTATTACAAGCATAAAAGATTTAAATATTGAAGCCTTGATATTATAGATGACCTAAAATTTATGTAAGGTACACTTCCCTTTGTAGTGATGTGTCTATCAGATTTTTGAAAGAAAATACCTTGAAAATGGGCTTATCTATGGGTTAGGTTAATTAACAAAATGACACATTTAATAGTAGGAAGAATATTAAATTTAGATTGAGAAGTACCATTTAGAAAGATGGCCAGTGCTGACATTTAAAGAAATTTACAGCTGGTCATGGGGACAATGGTCCTTAATCCCAGAAGTCACATAATCATAGCAACTGGGTGGTGGAGGCAGAAAGATCACAAATTCAAGGCTAGCCCAGGCAGCCCAGCCTGCACAGGCTGGCTTTGCACCTTGATCCTCAGGTCTTAGCCTCCTGAGTAGCTAAGATTATAGGCATGAGCTACCTATATCCAACCTAACTCCTTTTCTTTTCTTTTTTTGGTCTGTCATGGGGCTTGAACTCTGGGCCTGGGCGCTGTCCCTCAGCTCTTCAGCTCAAGGCGAGCGCTCTACCACTTGAGCTACAGCGCCACTTCCGGTTTTC